ATGCTCCCCGCATTCCCATGCTCCCCGCATTCTCATGCTCCCCGCATTCCTTGCTCCCCGCATCCCGCTTTCCCTTGTTCCCCGCATTCCCATGCTCACCACTGTCCCATGCCCCCACTTTCCCATGCTCCCCTCATTCCATGCTCCCCGCATTCCCATGCTCCCCGTGCTCCCCGCATTCACATGCTTCGCGCATTCCCATGCTTCCCACATTCCCTTGCGACCCGCACCCCGCTTGCCCTCGCTAATCCGCTGCTGCCTCTCTCCCCTGTTTCCCGCCACCCGCTTCCCCTAGCTTCCGGCATGCCGCTTTCCCCCGCTTCCTGTTTCTGCCATTCCCCCCTTTTCACATCCCGCTTTCCCCCGGTAGCGACTAGCGCTTCCCGCTTCACCTCGCGGACCGCTTCCCGCTTTCCCTTGTGGGTCGTTTCCCACTTTCCCACGTTGTAACGTGTTACCCGCTTTTTCGCGCGCCGCAATCCCCTGCCTTCTCATTGAATGAAAACAGATAAAGGTTCAAGGCGCAGCAGCAGGGAAGAAAGCGAGGCCGCAGGGATGGGGAAGACAACAGATAGTAGCGAGCGGGAGAGGCGAGAGGGGAGGGAGAGGGGCACGAGAGCAGTGGAGGGGGGAAGGCGTGAGAGCAGGGAGGGAGTGAGGCATGAGAGCAAGGAGGGAGTGAGGCACGAGAGCAGGGAGGGAGTGAGGCATGAGAGCAGGGAGAGAGTGAGGCATGAGAGCAGGCGTGAGTGCAGGGGAGGGGGAGAGGCGTAAGAGTAGGGGAGGGGGAGCGATGGGAGAGCATTGAGGTATGAGGTGCGTGATAGGGGGGGATGTGGGAAGGCGCAAGAGCCATGGAGGGAGCGAGAGGTGAGAGAAGGGAAGGGAAAGAGGGGTACGAGTAGGGGAGTGGGGAAAGGGAGAGTGCAGCCCGGAGGAGATGGGGAGGGGAAGAGGCGTGAGGGCGGGGGAGGAAGAGGCGTGAGGGGCATGGGAGGGGGAGAGGGTGTTAGGGTAGGGGAGGGGGAGTGGCGTGAGTGCAGGAGAGTGGGGAAAGATGGATTGCAGTGAGGGTAGGGGGGTAGGAGTGAGAGCAGAGGAGTGGGAGAGGCGTGAGGGCGTGAGAGGCAGGGACAGCTGGAGGAGATGGGGAGGGAAAGAGGCATGAGGAGAGGGGAGGCAGATACGCATGAGGGCAGGGGAGAGGGAGATGCATGAGGGCAGGGGAGGGGGAGAGGCATGAGGACAGAGGAGGGGGAGTGGCATGAAGCAGGGGAGGGGGAGAGGGCAGTAAGTGTGAGCGGGATCCCGGCAGGACAGGCAGTAAACACTCTATAACTAACCCCTCTCAACCCCCCGCCCCCCCACTAACGTATGCCCCCATCTCTTTCTCCCCCCCCCCCCCCCCCCCCCCTCCCCCCCCCTCCCCTCCTCCCCGCTCTCTCGCAGCCTACCGGGTGGCACATGATTGCCAGTCAAGCTCACCTTGGACAACCTCTCCGTTAAAAGCCAGACTTCACCCCAAACCTATCCACTCACTCCCCTGTGCATCTCTCAACAAACCACATTCTGTGGGTGATCTCCGTGCGGCCACGCATTCAGACATTCAGCCGTTATTGGCAAATGCTAACCATGTCTCTTCTCTAGCATCATCTACGACGGCTGCAGAAAATGGAAATTATGTAACCCTACATATGTGAACGACACCTTGTAACTGAGTTGGTCCAGGGTTGTAAAGCCAACTTGAATTTTGAGGTCGCAATTTCTCTCCCTCAAGTTTGTTACATTCTTCCTGCCACATATATATGCGACCTTTTCAGGTTATGAACGGCTTGTCGGTCGTTCTGTAAGAGTACATGAACTTGGCACCAATTTTGGCAACAAGAGTAGCTTTTTATCTTTAGCATAAAGTCATATTAGTCTAGATACATTCAGAAAGTCAAGTTCCCATGGAAAGCGATTTAATCTACTAAACAAATCCAAGACACACACTGAGATATATCGAAAACGTCTTAGCATATATAGTAACAAGTGTTGGCTACAACACCTCCATCCAACCACCAAGAAGGGCGTAGTCCAACGGAATCGGTGCAAAACACGGCTTTATGAAATTTGTGAATACCAAACTGAACCGAATTGAATCGCAAATTACAGCGTGCTATAGAGCGCGCGGATTCTGGGATCCAAAATTTCAGGTCCTATTTGCTTGATATTCGGGTCTGTAGAAACACGCCCCTATTCACAAAATGACGTGCTGACCAATCACACACCCTTTGCCCCCACCCTTCACCTGCAACCGAACCCAACAAAATTTATTCATCCAACTCAGCCCCTGCACCTCGTCCAACCAATCAAAATCTGCCAAGTGGTTCCAGAGCGGCTAATCCAGCTCAACCACCTGCTCGCCCCAACCACCCAGCCCACCACGCTGCACCCCACATGCCAGCACTCCAGCCCACCACACACTTCTGATCCCTTCCTTACTTGCCCCCTTGCGCCCTCTCATGCCTTCCAGCTAGACGTTACTTACAATAATAGCCCTCGGCAGTTCTATCTGCATCAGTTTCAGCTCCCATTCTCGCCTTCGCGCCCCCTAGTGAGCAGCTCCTTCCTCTCCCACAGGCTTCGATTACCACGGTCGTTCTTAGTGTGCCCTATGCTGAGGATCTCGTTTCACGATGGTCTATCGTTTCAAGCAGCTCGTAGGTGACTAGTCTTGTTCACCCATGTCATTCTTATCTGCATGTTCATGAGCTAATGCGCCATTGGGGGGGGCGGGAGAGTAAGGAGGGGCGAGGGGGAGGAGGCGGCACGCAGAAGCGGTATCTTCGGGAGGCGGGGCGCCTGGCGGAGTACCTAGATGCGCGCATGGAGGCGGCCACCAGGTGCGCGGACGCCAGCAGATGCGAGCACGGTGGTGAAACATCTCTTCCCTTGTTTCGCTTCTCGCCACTGTCCTTTTCCTCTCTCCTGTACTCGTTCCGTCTATGCCCGTCTCGATCCCCCTTTCGTGCCCTCTCTCCCTTTTCGCTCGTCCCAGCTGCTCTCTCTCCCCCTCGCCCCTGGAGCTGTGCTTGTCATGTGTGTGCTTGCCACGTGTGTGCTTGGCGCAGCAGCGGTGCGGCGCGACTCGTGCAGAGAGGCATGGCTAGTAGTGTGCGTGGGAAGGTGGAGGGGGCAGAGCGGAATGGAGAGCATCCGCTCTCGTGCACTCCCCTTCTCAGGCGCATGCCCCATCCATCCGTCCATCGTGTGTGCGCTGCAGGTTGGGCGCAGCAGCAGCAGGCCCGAGGAGCAGTGAAAGGGGGCATGCTGGCGCCATGGGTGGTGCGCTGCCAGACGACGTGAGCGCCATGGCGTATGCGCACAACCTGCCACCCAAGGTGCATACATGTGCCTTGCTATATGCATGGCGGTGTGAAGCCATCCCTGGCAGCCCATCCGTGTGCCCTCTGTTCTGCCTGTTGCGTGCCCATGCCACCCCTCTTGGCTCTTGCACGCCACGCCTCTCCATGCGACCTACCACTCTCCTTGCCTTTACTCACCTCTTTCTTTCACATGGCTGCATGGAATCACATGGCTGCATGGCATGGCATGGGCGCATGGCACATGGGTGCATGGCATCACATGGGTGCATGGCATCACATGGGTGCATGGCATCACATGGGTGCATGGCATCACATGGGTGCATGGCGTGGGTGCATGGCATCATGTGCATCTGTGGCAGCACCACGAGTCTCTCTCCTCGCGCCATCTCTCCTCCTCCCTCGCCTCCCTGCACCGTTACTTCGACTACAGGTGAACAGTCATGGCCAGGCGGAGAGGGGGGGGTCATACAGGTGCCACGGATGGGTTGCTGGAGTAGAGAGGCCCATGAGAGGGCATTCGCAGGCACGTGCGAGTGTGGGGGGCAGTGGGACGGGCCTGCTGCATGACAGGGCAAGGAAGTGTGGGGGAGAGTGTGGCGTTCGCACGTTGATACGTGTGATCGTGTGAGTGTGCTGTGCACGCGTGGCCCTCATGGTGAGGCGGCCACGAGGAGTGCAGCCACCACGAGGAGTGCAGCCGCCACGAGGAGTGCAGCCTCCATTCTGTTCTTCCATGTCTTGTGCGCTCTTCCCCGACTCTTGCGCACACCGTCACTCCACCCTCCCGCTTCCGCCCCCTGCCACCCCCTCCTCTCTCCAAACAGTGCGGGCGTGACAGCGGTGGGTAGTCGCCCGGCGTCGGAGTGGTGGGCGGGGCGATTCCAGGCGGGGCTGCTGGTGGAGGGCGCCATGCACGCACGATACGGGCACACACAGCACGCCATGGGGGTATGAAGGCATTTGTTACTTGACGTATCAATCAAACTAATGATTCGCATGTGTACTCACGATGCTTGTCTTTATCGCAGCTAGCTATGTAACTCTGTCCAACATCGAGATAATTCCCCATGTAAGTCCAATTGTAAGTCTCGCTGGTCATTTGATCGTCGGACTAATTTCACAACAATGTCTCGTATGACGTGCAGAAATTTGTAGCCTACCACGAGCTATTTCCTCCGGTAAGCTGGCTCTTGTAATTGCTGTCGTATGGAATATAACTAATTTGATTACAATGTTTGAACCTAATGTGCAGGACTCAATATCCAGCGTCGCGCTACTTCGTTGTTGTAAGCATTGTCCTTATTGTTGGTGATTTCGACCTTGGATTAATTTCGAGATAACAAGTTCTGAACGTAACGTGCAGGAATTCCAATCCAGTTTCAAGAATTGCTGCTCCTGGTGTGCCGCCGCTCAGTTTCTCTTTGTGTTAGTGCGGGACCCACATAGGGGTGCTGGTAGGCAAGGGCGGTTGGGCCATAGTGGTTGTGTACTGTGGTGTAGATGTTTTTTTTAATACATCAAATAATTTGCTTGTTGCATTATAAGTAAATCCAAACGAGGCATGCCCTAATTGTACTGAACCATGCCCAAAAGGGTACTGCAGCCTGCAAAAACGGATCCATGAAAAACACCGCCAAACGTTTGCAACAAATCATGCTGAATACTAAAAATGGTGAGCATAAACTTCTCTATGCATTCACATGTTTACTACAAAAGTTGTAGAAAGAACAACGCCATGCATTTGTAAACGAACCACGGAGATTACCGAAAAGACACCTCTAAGCATTCGCTGTCGTGAACCAAAAAGTGTTTCGGGAAATGTTGTCAAAGCATTCGCCAAGTGTTCTAATCTAAGTCCGCCATGAATTTTCACCCACATGTTCGCAAAACGTTTGCAAAGCATTTGCGCGAATGCTACGCAATCGTTTTGCGAGCATACATTTTTTGCGATGCTGGCCCTCGGCAGCGAAAACACCTGCCCGCGCGATTAAATTCAGATTTATGGGAAAGGGCGTGTTTATACACATAAAACTAGCTAGCGCGCCTCGTTCGGGCTCGTTTGTTACCGAAGTTTGTCGACCTCGATTTTCGTGAAAAGCCAAGGCACGGCAATTTTCGTGAAAAGCTGTTCTCTCGCACGGGCGAGGGAGGATGAAAGCGAGCGAGAATTGCCAAATTCATGACAGAGAGAGGTTGCTGCTGCTGAGTGGTGCCAGCCTGGCGGGCACACTGACAGGGGTCCGAGCCAGCAGCCCATTCCCCCTCAGCAGCACCCTGAGCCCCATTGCCGCACTGCACCCTTTTGGTGCACAAACAGGGGTCTGTGCCAGCAGCCCATTCCCCCTCAACAGCACCGTGAGCCCCATTGCCTCACTGCACCCTTCTGGCGCCATTTACGGGACTTTGAGCCTGCAGCTTCTGCAGCTGCTGCACCAGGTGCTGCAGCTCCCACGCCTCCTGAGGCGTGCTCCCTGCTGCTCTGTTGGTGAATGGAGGAAACGGAGGAGCGGACAGAGGCTGACAGGAAGGGCTCAGGTAGCTGCGGCTATTCCTGCACATGGTGCTGCGGCTCCCACGCCTCCCCAGGGGCACTTCCTGCTCATCTGTTGGGTAACGAGGGAAAAGGTGCAGAAATGGTTGGCCAAGAAGCACGTTGCAGCCTGCTGCTGAGCCGACAGCTGGTGGACCAGGTGATGGGGCTCCCACACTTGCTGAGGCGCACCCTGCTGCTGTGTACAACGCCAGGAAGAAAGGAAAGGGAAAGGAAGGGAAGCGAAGGAGAAGATAGGGAAGAGGGGGAGAAGAGACAGGAAGGGAAGGAGGGGGAGGGGGGGGAGAGCATGGACTATAGGTAAAGGGATTCAGCCTTCCATCAAGAGTTGCTAGGCTCCCGGACCTGCTGGGGAGTGGGGAAGCCCGCACGTACGGTTCATCTCTTACCCAGATGTACGGGTCATCTCTTACCCAGATGTACGGGTCACCTCTTACCTGGATGTACGGGTCATCTCTTACCCGGATGTACGGGTCATCCCTTACCCGGATGTACGGGTCATCTCTTACCCAGATGTACGGGTCATCTCTTACCCGGATGTACGGGTCATCTCTTACCCAGATGTACGGGTCATCTCTTACCCGGATGTACGGGTCATCTCTTACCCGGATGTACGGGTCATCTCTTACCTGGAATTCGGCTAAGAAGCACGTTGCAGCCAACAACTGGAGCACCCGGTGCTGGGGCTCCCACTCTTGCTGAGGCGCGTCCTCTGCTGCTGTGTAAGACGCCAGGAAGAAAGGGACGGGAAAGGAAGGGAAAGAACGCAAGAGAAAAAATGGGAAGGAAAGGAAGGGGAGGAAGGGGAGAGCAGGGAATAGGACCAAGTGCTGTGGCTCCAGGCCTTGCTAGGGGTTATGGAAGCCCGGCTTACAGTTCATCGTTTACCCGAATTTGCTGGGGGGTGCTTACAACTGCACCGTAGGGTGAAGGGGGGAGGGTGGCGAAGAGCAGGTGACGCATTGAAGTATACATATTTTTAACGCTCATGAGGAAACAACTTCCCCACTAACCCTCACCTCACCCACAGCATTCTCTCGAGCCTACACAATCCCTGCCAGTGCTGTTCTCGCCCGCTCCCACTCCCCCAAATACAGTAATATTTATCCCCTGAAATATCTCCGTTTTACACTCCCCACTAACCCAACCCACACTCACATCATGCTCACACTCACCACATTCCCATCATCCTCTCAAGCATGATGTGCCGATGTCCCTGCCAGTGCTGCTGTCACCATCGTCCCTGCCAGTGCTGTTCTCGTCCGCTCCCTCTCCTCCTTGCCTTCCTGGATCCGCCCCTCCAGCCCTGCCACGTGGCTCTGCTGCCTCATCACCTCAATCCGACGTGCCTGCACCAATCGCTGCCTCTCCTTCTCAAACCCAGCAGAGGCGGAAAAGGGGGGGAGAGGGATGTGCAGGGAGAAGGGTGAGTGTGGGGGCAGGGTTTGGTGGGGGCGAGCACCGGATGTGAACAGGACGCAAGGAAGTGGCTGTATCATCACCTCCCTCAGATGCACCTGCATCATCCACTGCCTCTCCTTGTCAAACCTAGGGCAAACGCAGGGTACGATTCAGCATTCACAACGGAAGGCGGGGCACTTCAAATGCTGAAGCAACCCGATCTCGAATCTGCCACGTCATCACCTCCCCACATGCGCCTGCACCAGTCGCCGCCTGTCCATGTCAGGCATATGACAGCGAAGCACAGCGCAGAAAGCCAAGCATGGAATGGGAGGAGGAGAGTCAACTTTGCGTTAGTAGAATGGCTGTGTTGGTAGAATAGTTGTGTTCCTAGAATAGTTGTGTTGGTAGAAAAGCTGTGTTGGTAGAATAGTTGTGTTGGTAGTCTATTATACCCGCGAGAATGGGATGGCACAGCGAACAAAGGGATGGGTGGAATGGGGTCAAATGCGGTGAGGGTTGGGGTCCGATGAGGTGAGGGTTGGGGTCAAAGGAGGTGAGGGTTGGGGTCCGATGAGGTGAGGGTTGGGGTCAGATGAGGTGAGGGTTGGGGTCAGATGAGGTGAGGGTTGGGGTCAGATGAGGTGAGGGTTGGGAACAGATGAGGTGAGGGTTGGGGTCAGATGAGGTCAGGGTTGGGGTCAGATGATTTGAGGGTTGGGTTCAGATGAGGTGAGGGTTGGGGTCTGATGAGGTGAGGGTTGGGGTCCGATGAGGTGAGGGTTGGGGTCAGATGAGCTGGGGGTTGGGGTCAGTTGAGTTGAGGGTTGGGGTCCGATGTGGTGAGGGTTGGGGTCAGATGAGCTGGGGGTTGGGGTCAGTTGAGTTGAGGGTTGGGGTCCGATGAGGTGAGGGTTGGGGTCAGATGAGGTGAGGGTTGGGGTCAGATGAGGTGAGGGTTGGGGTCAGATGAGGTGAGGGTTGGGGTCCGATGAGGTGAGGGTCGGGGTCAGATGAGCTGGGGGTTGGGGTCAGTTGAGTTGAGGGTTGGGGTCAGATAAGGTGAGGGTTGGGGTCAGATGAGGTGAGGGATGGGGTCAGATGAGGTGAGGGTTGGGGTCCGATGAGGTGAAGGTTGGGGTCCGATGAGGTGAGGGATGGGGTCAGATGAGGTGAGGGTTGGGGTCAGATGAGGTGAGGGTTGGGGTCAGATGAGGTGAGGGTTGGGGTCAGATGAGCTGGGGGTTGGGGTCAGATGAGTTGAGGGTTGGGAACAGATGAGGTGAGGGTTGGGGTCCGATGAGGTGAGGGTTGGGGTCAGATGAGGTGAGGGTTGGGGTCAGATGACGTGAGGGTTGGGGTCAGATGAGGTGAGGGTTGGGGTCAGATGAGGTGAGGGTTGGGGTCAGATGAGGTGAAGGGTTGGGGTCAGATGAGGTGAGGGTTGGGGTCAGATGAGCTGGGGGTTGGGGTCAGATGAGTTGAGGGTTGGGGGAACAGATGAGGTGAGGGTTGGGGTCCGATGAGGTGAGGGTTGGGGTCAGATGAGCCCAGAACCCTCTGAAACTCGTCCCTCTGAAGCACTTCCATCAGCCCTTGTTGTAGGTGGTATCAAATGCTTTCTTGTGAGAGCTGCATTGTGTTTTGTGGCGATGGTGATTAGGACTCTCTCGTTGGAACTCGTCCCTCTGAAACACTCCTCTTTCACTGGAATGACAGGTGCACATGGCATTTCCACATTACCAGCAACACCACGTCATGCCATCACGACTCGCTTCACAAAGGTACGGAAAGTATCTGGAGTAGACAAGGACACTTGGCAACTTGGGTTGGGACGTGAGGAGGACCCGTGAGAGACCAGTGCTCACGACTCACTCCAATCCACCTCATGGCACTTATTGCAAACCCAGGCATACACCGGGGCCTGTAGTGCTTACTCATTCCTCAGCCCAGCGGAGGTAACTGAGGAATGACTAAGCATCAAACCCTAAACTGAGATGTCGCCCTAAACCCTAAAATAGGCTCCATACAGCCAGTGCTTATGCATTCCTCAGCTCAGCAGTGAACTGTTGATGCAACAAGAAGAAACGAGAAGAAATATTAGGGGCTGACTTGCATGCCATGCCATGCCACGGACGAGAAGGGAAGAAGGTCACATCCCACAGCCAAGCACGAGCTCACCTTTCCTTGGTTCTTCTGAAACGATATTGAGTTGATTCCCGTGTGAAGGTGGGTCCCTTTCACTGCACAACACATGCACACATGACTCTGTCAGCACAGCACCCTTTCCCCAAAGCAATTTATTTATTCCCACTGCCATTGAAAGGCGAACCAACTCACCGTATCCACCGATTTTTCCATTGAACGCCATCCACTTGTTTCGCCCCTGAAACAGCTTCGCACGGTCCGCATTGGGCATGGTGGCAGACATCTCGCTCTTGACGTGAACAAACTCAAACGCAGACTGTGGGCTGTCAAAGGGTGCCCATGTGGTGCCTCCGTTGCCAGTGTTATCGCACACACCCATATGGCAATTGAAATTATCGCCTGTAAAATGGCGAGACGAATAGAGCAGCCAGGAGATTTAGCTGATGCGTTGAAAAAAGTGCGAGATACGCGTGTCACATGAGCCACTCACCGGCTTTAGGGTAGTGCTCATGATTTTCCTGCGAGACATACACAATCGGGTGTGTTCCCAGCACTGTGGCAAAGTTCTTTGCCCTGCTGTCCGCCCAGTCAGCCCCGGTGTCCCACGCCCACACCGGCCCGTCGCCATGCTGCGCGTACCAAATGCGCTGCGGCTGCCCCGTCTTGGTGAAGCGGATGGCGATCGCCACAAGGTCGGTGACGTGGTTGTAGATTCCAGCAAGGGAATCGTAGAAGACGTAGTTCTGCAAATGTGAGGGAGAAAGGCGGAAGATTTTAAATCTTATGTATGGAGTGACACCTTTTCACAAAGAAAGGGTGAGGAGGAACGAGGGAGGGGGGGGAGGGAGGGAGCAAGGAAGGAGAGGAGGAGATAAGTGATACCTATGTACTCCATGGAATACTTACGTAAGGGTTGAACATCCAATACTGGATCTCCACAAACGAGTCTTTGTCGTCGGGCTTTGGATCATAGATGATCGTGTACACCTTGGTGCCTCCATTTGCCGGGTTGCGCCCCGAGTCCTTCACCCAGTCCGTCTCCTCATCAACCTCTCCTGCACACACCAGGGCAGTATAGCCCTGCTCGGTCTTCAATGCCCCATCGGAAAGCAGCGTGTCGAGGTTGGTGGGAGTGACAGGGACCGGCTGGTTGTATGTGATCTGATCTTCCCATCCCGTTTCAAACGTGCTGCCCACGCACCCTGTCACGTGGGTGAGGTACTCATCGATCGTGATTGGCCAGATGGTCTCTTTTGGGTGAAACTTGAACTGTGGGGAGTACTTGACAGCCACATCCTCCCAGTACTTGTCATACTCGGCGCACACCGGGTTCAGCTGCGGGTCAAACAGGCACGGGGGCACTGTTCCCGCAGCCATGGGCGGGTTGGCGTTGCGAACCAGCATGGCGAACTGGGCCTGGAACCACCGGCCAGCACGTGGCGCATCAGAGAGGGCGTCCACGCCCAGGGGGTCGTCGGGGTTGCACTCGCGATCCACGGGGGGTGTGGTCGATGTGAGCTTTCTGAATGGCATGCGCGGGGAGGGAGGACGAGCGGAGAGAAGAGCTGTAAAGACAGCATAGCACAGCCGGGGGTGTCCAATCTGAAAGATAACCCAAAGGGAAAGGGAGACGGTGCAGGTCGGACCGTCCCAGGACGGGGTGAGGGGCAGCAGTACTCGGAAACTTACGAGTGGCCGTCGCTCTCCCCAGGCGGCTTGATCCAGACAAGAGCATCAACTGTCGGCAGATAAAGAGGTACGGCGTGTGGGGGAAAGACAGAGTCAGTAGCATGAGTCAAACCACACACGGGGGACGGCATTTTAACCAGAACCACTGGAGGGAGAGAGAAAATAAAAAGCAGAAACGACAAGAAGCAGGATGAAAGTGATGTGCACACCTTGGGGCGCATTGGCGGGATTGGCCCTGGGGCGTGAGTGATGTGAGTGAGGTGGGTGATGTGGGTGATGTGAGTGATGTGAGTGATGTGGGTGATGTGGGTGATGTGAGTGATGTGAGTGATGTGGGTGATGTGGGTGATGTGAGTGATGTGAGTGATGTGGGTGATGTGAAGGATGTGGGTGATGTGAGTGATGTGGGTGATGCGAGTGATGTGGGTGATGCGCGTAATGTGGGTGATGTGGGTGATGTGAGTGATGTGACTGAAGTGAGTGATCCCCACACCTTGCGGCGCATTGGAGGGATTGGCCACGGGGCGCTCTCCGATCCCTGCGTTCTTCACATTACACCAGGAGCCCCAGCGGTTGCGGATGCCAGCTCGGCCGGACCGGCTGGTGTCAACAATCCACCGCGTCGGCAGCCCCGCTGCTGCGAGGTAGGCGTTGAGGCGGGCAGTGAAGAGGTGCTCGCTGATGCACGGGTTCCAGTCGTAGTTCATCTCGCCCGTGCTCGGGTTCTTGGCCAGGGGACACTTCTCCTTGGCGGGGCAGCCTGAGGCGAAGAGCGGGCTGTAGTTGGCCACGTTGGAGGCAAACCCGCGGATCTTGGCGCTCGCTTTCATCTGCCTGGCGCGGGCCAGCACCTTCTTGTACACCGGAATGACCCTCCTCATGCCCTCCGACCACCCTGCACATGCCAAGCATTGCGTGGGGAAGGGGGTGGGAGTTGTGAAACGAAGCGACGCAAACAAAGTTACAAGAGGGATGGACAGAATGAAAAGGGTTGGAGCACTGGGGTGCCACCCACTCACATGCGCACTCACACGCGCACTCACATGCGCACTCACACGCGCACTCACATGCGCACTCACACGCGCACTCACATGCGCACTCACACGCGCACTCACATGCGCACTCACACGCGCACTCACATGCGCACTCACACGCGCACTCACACGCGCACTCACATGCGCACTCACACGCGCACTCACATGCGCACTCACACGCGCACTCACACGCGCACTCACATGCGCACTCACACGCGCACTCACATGCGCACTCACACATGCACTCAGATGCGCACTCACACATGCACTCACTCACACGCACACTCAAACTCACCGATCCAGCCGCCGAAGCCGGAGTCGAGGTACAGCGTGGTGTCGGGGATCTGCGAGAGCTCCGCGATGGCATACGCCACGCCCTCCGTGTAGTCCCTCTCCGACGTCGCGTCGCACCGGTTGCTGCCCATGTTGGTCGCCCCAAAAATTAGGGTGGCAAATTGTTACCCCCAAGACTACCGCAAGTGACCTTGGGATTTCGCGCCAGGGGGTGACCCTGGGGCTTCCGACTGGGTCACCTCGGGAAAACTAGCGGCCAGAATGCATTTCGAGGTAACCCTCAGGATACCCTCGTGAGGTCACCCTCGCGGCACCAACTTGACGCCTTCGGGTGCATCGGGGGGATCGTGAGGTGAACCTTTTGAGGGGTTCTTATCCCCGTCAAACTGTGAATGCGTTTGGGTGAAGGAGTACACTCGGGCGAAAACATGATGAACCTTATACGCAAGCCAATAGCACACCCAATCCTCGTCACTAGCGCCCCGATACGGAAAATCACTACAGTGTATATATCAACTGTTTAATTACCTCCATGGATACTAGCACAGCCACTACATTAACGGGTTTATTTGTAACTACGACTTTACTGTAGCTCAAAGGGCAGCTTCGTTGCGTCCCATCATAGATGTCATTAATATGCACATATAATTATTCCAAAGCTTGGCTCACCACGAATACAATTATTTTTATCACAACACAAATCATGCAAAACAAGGTGATTAATTAAGCTGCAATTTCCTAGAGTTTGGCGCAGATTAATTCTCCTCCTTACGCCAACTTGGTGTATTAGCTACGCAAGCACCTCTTTCTGGGCCTGCACGGATGCCTGCCAGCCAGAAGGCTGAGCTGTAAAACCACAATCACGGCCCAGCAAACAACAGCAAGCACTGCTGCTGCATGGCCATCTGGCTGGTAGCCGCTCGCTGCACACACGAACATTATCAAGCACAATATCAGGTAAAGAGGGGGGGACAAAGAGGATGGCGAGGAAAGAAGGGGAGACTAAGGCTGTAAGGTAAAGAACATGAAACAAAGTGCCGGTCAAAGTTGTGGGGAAACAGAGTGCGGCAAGAAGGACGGTAGGAGTGGTGGTTGGGGGAGGGGGGGGGGAGGGGGGGAAATGACGAGAAGGATCCGGGCACGAGGGGGGCAATGGGGAAGTGCTACAACTGTACCTGAATACGGTGAGGAGCCTCTTGAGCTTGACAAGGACGCGCGACGAGCACCGCGAGAAGCTCGCGCGTCTCACCCGAAATGCACCGGGATCCCCTCATGCGTCCCGCCCAAAGTGCATCGTGAACGCTCACGCGCCCGACGTGCACCGCGAGAACCTGCGCGAAAGGCTTAGGGGAACGGTAAGGATGGAAAATACGGGAGGAAGATTGGAAAACGAAAAAGCTCTTGGGAATAGAAAACCTACGTAGAACAAGCACACACGAGGAAGAGCATCTGGGAAAAAATTTCGCGATACTGAGGATTAGACAGTTACGGTTGTGCATGTAGCTGAAAAAAGCATACTACGCAGCGTTGGGCACGTATCTGTCTCAGTAGAATGCTTGTGCGGGAAGAACGTAGACTAGCAGAAGGGAGGAAAAAGAAAGAAAACGGGTTTTGTTGGTTGAGTCGGCAGTATATGTGTGACTGGGATTCGTTGACACAGCTAGGTGTTCATATCTGGGCTGTATACATTACGTAGAATGGAAGCCAGATTTCGTACGAAAAGAGAAACGAAAACGAGTAGTTTCACATCACGTAAACCGTGTGTTGATGGTGCAGAGATTTTTTTGTACCTGAAGCCCAGTACGCTGAACACGGCCCACAATATTCTGGATGCACGGACGACCTTGGATAAGTCGAGAAAATGACCAATGGGTATGAACTTAGCGATGCATTCATTGGTCAGCTCGTCGAGGCTGACCCATCACTTTCATACCCCATAATACAGGTTTCGTCAAGAGACAAACGCCATTCTCTTGTTCTGTCCAACATATTCGATAGTTCTTCACCCAAATCGCTTTCCCGAGGGCTCTTGAACTTGTCGTCTAGCCTGAGGGTTCAGGCTCGACTGGTGTCTTGGTTCGGGCCCAACCTGTGAAGTTACCTGAGGGTCACCTCGAACCGAGATTCAGCCCTATTGGCTGGTCGGGTCCCACGCGACACGTACCGAAAATCTGGCGAACTTCGTACGCGTCGCCACTACCCGCAGGTAACCCCGAGGTGTCTTGCGTGGATCTTTGGGTAGTCTGGGGTGGGGTTACCCACGGGTGTCCCACACTCCAAAAGAAAGAATGGGTCTCGAGAAATTTGGGATGGGCCCTGGATGGAGTCCAGGGACCAAATGGTGTCCAGCCACACGGCCGTCGGATTCTCCGCCACGCTCGCGAAATACGGCGCCTCCTCGCGTCTGAAAATGGCTGACTTCACGCTCTCCGCGTATTTGGGGTTGAGGTACTGCTGAACGCCCGCGTACGGGTTGCCGGTCGCGCCGCTGTCGCTGACGCGGTAACCGCACGACGTGCCGCTGGCGGCGACCAGCTCGGTTGTGTTGATGGCGCCCTTGAGCCAGCACGTGCCGCCGTTGAAGGCCGACCACGTGAAGTGCGTGCAGTCCGCGCGGGCCAGGCAGCGCGTGCCGCACGTGTCGCCCATGCCGGGCGCGCGGCCAATGTCGTTGCCGGTCCAGTCGCAGTCGAACGACCACTGCACTCGCCCGCCCTCGGAGCTCGCGAAGCTGAATGCTGACGTGGCCGTGAGCTTCGAGCTGAGGGCTACCAGCACCGCTAGTATCAGTACCACTGGCGGTGCCAATGCAGTCGAAAGAAAATGCGCAACCCCCATTGTCAGTTGGTTCGTTGGTCGGTCGGCTTGGTCGGTTGGTTGGTGGCTGTTTGTTTCGAGGTTGGAATGAACGAGTGACGGCAAACTCACGGGACCGTCGCTTTTGAACGGAGCCAGCACTAGCTCGGTTCGGAGGCACGCTTTGATCGAGCCGCGGCCACACTTCTCTTGTTCTGCTCTGCCTCGCTACGATTGGTGGCATGGCTTCTCGCGATTATTGGTGGCACCACGCCTTGGGTTGTGCCGCCAATAATGGTGAGTACAGCGGGTATGCCATTAGGTCCACGACATTTTACTCCACGTAATACTCCAAGGTCCGGAATTCGATAAGATCGGCCACGATGTACTCCGTCTGTACGGTACATCTACTGTTGACTTCGCTAAAAAAGTGCAATAAAACATTGTGACCAATCACGACAATCGCATAATGCCACCGACCATCGAGTCGCGCCACCCGAATTGGGTGCGATCCTAGCATGCGAGTTTCGCCAACCAACCCGCGCGTGCGAGCTCGGAAATTTATCGTGAACTGTGCTTGGAATTGCGCGGCCAATACGCGCTTGCCAGGGCGATCAGACGTAATCCCGACGGACCGGGGGGCGGCAGCTAGCTGGTACCCCCGTTCTCGTGTCAAGAACATGCGAGGCGTTTTCCATGTTTTATAACCAATGACGTAAATATTCAGGCTTTCTGCGTGACACGAACAGGTCCGTCCCGAATACGAAAACACGACCCACGGTCCATCAATTACCATTAACCAATGCACATTTCGAAAATGTTTTTCTTAAATGGTTTTTTTCACCTTTGTGAAAGTGTGTGATTGGTTAACGAAATTACCCATGCGAGTCGTCATAATTTCGTTACGTTAAGCCCTTTTCGTGAGACCACAAAAAGGGTTTTTCAAATTTTATGATTTGCGCGTTTTGAGCATGCGCTGCTTGCGGAAGGTCGAGAACGAGGTGTTACTTCTATTGTCCAAAGTAATTCAGACCAGACGACAAATTTTCTGAACGTTTTTTAAGAAGCCACATGAGCCCTCACATGACACGCGGCGAAGTCGCTGGTAACCTGACCCTAGGGCCAATACGCCAAGGCACCCATCGTGAACAGAAATAGTAAAACGACCTACGCCACCCCACCTAAAACCGTACGTGCTACTCGATAATCCATTTTGCCCATAGTGAACCGCTCTTATTCGTCGTAGTCCATATTTGCGAGTCGCGGATTTGGAGCATAGAGAATACCCCCTGTATAGGTGAGTCGGGGTCTCACGTGGAGGCCGTATGCCCCTTCGCAAGTTTTTTGCTCAAACCTATGTGCTCCGTCACAAAAAAAAACGCCTAGCGAGAGGTCAAAATAGTGAAGGCGGGTCCAACTTGAAAAGGCCCAGACGTCCGTTTTTGCGACTAAGGGACAGAACTGCGATGGGGCAGAGGGTACACAGTCGAGAAATGCAAGCAGGGGAAACTGGGCGAGAAGATGCAGTTACCTGATTGGTTGGCGGGGAAAACATGTCGTACGGTGGGGAAAATGGCTCGAGCAAAATCGCAAGCAGCGCGCCACCTGTCGCCCAGCCCCCAACTGCCTGTAAGCTGCACCAAGTGGGCCCAACTTGAATTTCAAGTTGGACCCGGGTTCACTCGCTACACCAGCAAAACTGAGGCTGGGCCCCCATTGGTCGAAATGCTAACCACGAAAATCTATGGTCGTAAAATTTGTCGCCAGTGCGAAATGTCGCAAGCGCAATTCGATTTCGTGGCCTATGGCTTGGTAAACAAGGCTCGACGCCAATGCGTCGTTAGGGTTGCGTAGCTGTTGTAAGGAATTTTCCATTCCTTACCGAGCGGTACTGCTAGCGCGTACGCTCGAATACACCCGAAGCCTCGGGACTGTTCCAGGCCTTCTGACAGAACCGCGTCGGCTTCTCCAGACCTTTCGGTTCGACCTTCGGGAGTTCTCCGGGCCTCGCTTCGTCACTTCGAGACCCTTCGCTCTCCTTCCCGAACCTTACCATCGCATGGTTAGACTAGCTCTGGTGTTCCTGTATCTTGGCTTGCCATTCCTTGTATCGTTATTCATTGAGTGAACACTTCGTTATTCATTTCCGCGCTACTCCGCTTGTTGATTCATAACAGCTATTATGATTTAGAAGATGTCAATGTACTCTAACATGAGAATACAAGGTCGCTATCGCAATGAAAGCACGAGGTTATATAGGAGTAGACGTAATAGGGCGATAACCTCGGGACGTGGGTAGGTTCGGCAATGTGGCGACGCTGTCGGCGCGACTCGAGACATGGTTGGGTCGAAAATGTAGGCCGAACGTGACGAGTCGAAGTGTTCGGGTGTACGCGGTAGCGGGCGACTCAGTAAGGAATGGAAATTCCTTACACTACCGCGCCCTTCTAAACGAGTCTGTGGGTATCGGAGACGTTGCGACGCTGATAATACGCCGTTAGAATCGGATGTGATTCTA